TTCGCAACCATGGCCTAGGTCAGTGACCGCACTCAGTGGATGAAGGAAATGGGCCTCGACATGGTTTCTGGTGGTTCCCTCGCAAAGATCAAGCAAGGAATCATGGAGAGGGCAAGCCTTGGGCGTGTTCGTCACTTGGAACTTCGAATACTTGCCGCTGCTTTGAAACATACTTCCTTGCTTGAAACCGCCACCATTGAACTAGATGCTGAAGCTGGCGGGTTCACAGCATCCTTTCAGTGTGACAATGAGCGAATGACAAAGAGGCTGTCCAGCCTAGCCAAAGCTTATGAGTGGCTTATGTCCATGACCATTTCTTACAAGAAGGGAGACTTGCACAAAAGCTTGAAGCAAGTTCAGAAGAGTGCCAAGCCGGAAGTTGCTCTTGGCAAAGCAGCAGTAGAGCTTTGTGCACAACCTCAAGGTGATCTGGCTTCTGTCGTTGATCAGTTGACTCAAACTGGCCATGAGCGAAGCGTGGCTGTGTGTGAGGACATGACTGAGAGCGTCCTCAAAGTCACCAAGGTTTCCAGCGTGCCATTGCCTGGCTCTTCGGTGTGTGTTCATCGAGGTAGCTTGAATGCGTTCCTCAATTTGGGATCATCTACAGAAGGCATCTCCGGACTCATGTTGGCCAAGCAGGCTTGGAACGACAAGCATCATGCAACACAGATTGTCATTGGCAAGGAGTCCATTCAGACCATGCTACAGCACCCACGAGTGAAATCCAAGTGTGACACTGTCTCTTTGACTCCTTGCGGGGCAATTGTGGTGGGAAGCTACGAACATTGGAGAGGGGTTGCACTTGAGTTCTTGCAGCAATTTCCATTCACAAGCCCACTTTTGATTTCAGTCGACTACTCCAATGACCGTGCTGGGGCGACAGCGGCTTGGGAGATGAGCCATGATGCAAATGATATCAAAGCATGCTCCATTTCCTATACATCGCAACCCAGGGACCAGGAGCGTCGGCTATGCTACAACATTTGCTGGCTTGAGGAGCTAGGCGCCTCACTAGTGGAAGCTGCTACGCGAAAAATATGCGAGGCTGTGGTGTCCCACGTGCATGAAAGTATCTCCAGGGATGAGGCCCAAGCAAGGCCACAGATTCAGAATGCAAAATTTAGGAAGATTCCGATTGCCTCAGATGGTATGTGTGGTTGGCATGCCCTAGTTGCAGTTCGGGATTTGTCTAGATATCAGCAAGTTCCACGGAATGAAGGAGCCTACCCATGCAGCAAAAGACTATTGATAGAGCAAGAACAAGCTGCCAAGGAACTCCATAGCAGTGTGTGCAAGCAAGCGCTTGAAGTCTGCCATCCCAGGTTTCACGATGCGATTCACAGGGTCATGGGAGACCCGCAGTATATCCCAACTGACCTGGAGTGGATAGCCAAAGCCTGCAAGACCACAATACGATGCACCTGCACTACTCAGGCTCTTCAATTTTGAAGAACCACACTTAGAAACTCTGACCAGAATGAGCCCCCAAAGTACCAAAACGACCGGGTCAGTGTTTAAAGAAATAAGTACACGGATATATTGTTACATTGTGTTATAATATATACAAATATTTGGTATGCAAAATGAATCCGGTTTACGCTGCGCTGCATCCATTTTGGGTGTTTATTTCGAGCCCCTGAAGAGGTTGGGTTGTGCAATGGGAAGCCTGCTGATGTTTGTTACGGAGAGGAGCCAGTGACAGCTCATTTGCTCTTTCATTTTGAGCAATCAGTGGCAGAAGATCGCATATTTGGCCACTACAGTTTGTTGATTCCCTCTAGAGCGCGAGCAGAAACTGGCGGCAAAGATGTCCTTGTCCTTCCTGATGCTGTATCCTGGCACAATTGGGGTTCATAATGAGCCTGCTAATGAAATCCATTGACCGCATAAAGCTTTGGGCATATTCAGGCGGCTGTAGATGTGGAAGAGTGATATGATATGCTATGTAGCTATGTATATATTATGTATAGTGATGTTCCTTGTGTAAACTATGGCTGTTTTGTTCCATCTCCAAAACGCTGAGGTCTTGCCAGAGAGAACTAAAGAATGCACCAGCTTCCTGCAGCAAATTTGCGGGTGCCTTCTTGATGCCCCACGCGACAATTTGTTTCCAAGGATTGAGCTCATTGATCCCGACACGCAAGTTGTGAAGTATACAGTTGGCTATGACCATGCCCACCACGGCTTTTGGAGAAGGGATGAACAAACTTACGATGTGACTTTGGTTGAGAGAGAAAACTTTTCCAAGACCTTGCAAGCTGAATGGGAACTATCGGACGGTGATATTGCTGATTTGCTAAAGCCAGCCGGTGTGAAGAAGGAAACCTGCAGTTTGTCATCTCCGGATTTGGGGGCGTCTCATCCTGAGGGTGCAGAACCTACGGAGGAAGAAACTGAGCAGCAACATGCCAGCAGGATTGTATGGAGCCCCATTACATCAGAACAGATAGAGCTGGCCCTTGCAATACTAAAAGGTGTCAGAGTCTCCGGTGAAAGGTGTGGCATTCCAGCGCCAATCTCAGCCACCTCAGCCAGAGTGAAGATCATCGACCAAAGAGATCACTTAATCGCAATGCAACAGATGTTCAACTGCCGGGCCACATTTGCTCCATGTGTGCCAAGAACTTCTGAAACAGCAATGAGGTCAGCACACTTGGAAACGTCACCATCAGCAACCCGCACCAGTGAAGCGACCACCCAAGCATTGGATGCTAC